TAATCTAAACGAACTTAACGATTTTTGTACGATCACGTGATCGAAAAAAAATTGGTGGCGATGCTGGGGAAGATATTAAATCCCAATAAGTCACATGATTCCTTTTTTTTTGTGTATCCTAGTGCAACCAGCAAAATTTCTTTAAAAAAATTTCTGTTAGATTAAGGCTAGGTTTCGCTACTATGTTAGATTAGAAAAGCTTTAATAATATCAAAAGTTCTCAAGGAAACTTTTTATTAGTGCGCAGAAGAGTTATAAACGGCTTTCTAGATTATTTTACAGCGTTCCCGAAATTTGAATTTTTAGGGTTGAAGTTGATATTTGATTTTTTAGCCAATCAAAAATTCTCACTAATCAGCCAACAACTTGACTCATACTGGTCGCTAAATTTAGAGTGCAGGAGTAATTACATAATTATGTCATTAATTATTAAGAACCAGTTTTATATATTGTAGACATCGTCGTCCTTATTCGAACTAACTTATATGTAATTACTAAGAGAAAAATACATGTGTAATTCAATACAACAATATCGTTATCGAAAATTCATATAGTGCGCAAGTGCTGAGCTATTTAACACGGGTTTGACATCTATAATTACTTTGCTATTTTAACCAGATAATATGTCTGTAGTACTACCGATCTATGCAAATTTGATCAATGAAAAAAATATTTAGCTATTGGTTATTTCAATGATGATACACAGTTTTACAATGAATGCGTATGATGAAATTTCCGTTCTCAAAACTAAAATTAAAAAAGATGATAAATACCATAAAAATTACAATGAAATGCTTAGCTCAGTAGAAACTTTAAATGAACGTTTAAATTTGGCAGTTAAACAAGGTCCTAATAAAGCAATCGAACAACATCTTAAACGTGGTCAATTATTAGTTCGTGATAGAATTGACCTTTTATTAGATGAAGATTCTCCATTTTTAGAATTATGTCCTTTAGCAGGATGGGGTCAAGATGGTATGACATTGGGTGGTTCAAGTGTTGCGGGTATTGGCCTCGTCTGTGGCGTAGAATGTTTAATAAGTGGTAATGTCCCAACATTATTTGGAGGTTCATCTAACGAAGTTAGTGTCGCTAAAGGTGCTAGAATTAATACTATAGCTTGGCAAAATAGATTACCTTTAATTCAATTAATTCAAACTGGAGGCGCTAAATTAGAACAACAGTCTAAAGTTTTTCATCCAGGTGGTGCTCATTTTCGAAGTTTGGCCGAGCGAACAAAAGCCGGCCTTCCTACTTGTAGTATAGTATTTGGTAGTTCAACAGCTGGTGGTGCATATTCACCTAGTTTAACTGATTATGTTATTATGGTGAAAAATCAAGCTCAAGTGTTTCTTGGTGGTCCACCACTTGTTCAAATGGCTACCGGTGAAATTGTCGATGCTGAAAGTCTTGGTGGTGCTGATATGCACAGTAGAAAATCTGGTGTTTCTGATCAGCTTGCATTGGATGAATACGATGCTATATCTAAAGCTCGCGAATTTATTTCTAGACTTAATTGGGAAAAAAGAGGAAAAATTCCTCAAGGTCATCTTACTCCAAAAATAAATGAACCTTTGTATGATATTGGTATGTTATTTTTGATTTATCCCAAATATTAATACGAGTAACTCGATATAAGAAACTTCGATATAAGAAGTTAAGCCAAACCAGCCTGTAATAAATCAGTTTTGCAAGATTCTTATTATGAACCAGACCATCTTTCTTATATCGAGAGTTACTTGTATATACATTTATTTTACAATGATCCCTTTTTACAATGATTACTATTATCATTATCATTATGATAGATGAACTTCTTGGAATCGTGTCTGCAAATATTAGAGAGCCTTTTGATGCTAACGAAGTGATCAATCGCATAGTGGATGGATCAAGGTTTATGGCATTTAAACCTCTTTATGGACCAAATATAATCACTGGTTGGGCTGCTATCCATGGTATTTTTATTGCATATTTATTTAATATAAAATATATTTTTAAGCGTTATTATTCATGATTTATTATGAATATTCACATTCACAGGTTTCAAGGTGGGTATAATAGCCTCCAATAGTGTTTTATTCATTCCGGAAAGTAATAAAGCGACCCAATTTATTCGAATGTGTAATATGATGTAAGAAATTTCACCTTTTATTACATTATCCTACGTATAAATTTAATTCAATCTATCTTTTGCTGTTGTAATGAAGGAACGTGCCACTCATATTTCTTCAAAACACCACGGGATTCATGGTAGGCAAAAAATATGAGGAAGAAGGGATAATAAAAGCTGGAACACATTTCGTAAATGCTGTTAGTAATAGTCAAGTACCTGCTATTACCATTATGATGGGTGCTTCTTATGGTGCCGGGAATTACGCTATGTGCGGTAGAGCTTATAACCCAAGGTGAAATTATTAATTTATTGTAAAACTGATTAATTATTGTATATTATATTTATTCTGAATTTAATGATGGAAAACTATCGAACTCTATAATTTCATAGATTTTTGTTTTCATGGCCAAATAGCAAATGTTCAGTAATGGGTCCAGACCAATTAGCTGGAGTTATGGATATAATTTATCATGAAGCTGCTGCTAGGTAAGCTTTGTTTTTGTTAGAATAACACACATTCTTGATAGGATCTTCACTTTTCATACAATTCAAATCTTATAAATAGAGCTGGAAAAAAAGTCGATGAAAAAATAGCCGCGAAAAATAAAGCCTTTTTGTCAAGTAGAGTTGAGCAAGAATCTGACGTATATTGGACAACATCAAGGTTATTAGACGACGGAGTAATTGATCCAAGAATGACTAGGGTTATTTTGGGATTCTGTTTAAGTGTTATTTATAATGAGAAGGTTGAAGGTGGTAGTTTAGGTGGTGTTAGTAGAATGTAGATTATAGATATATGTAGGTGAAATGAATTTTTTTCATAGTGTGTTTTATATTTACTAAATTTGAAAGTTTTTATTGGATTTAAAAAATAAAATTACATTCTCCGTATATTGAAATATGTAAAAACTCAAAAAATGAAGTACCCATTTTGAAGTAACCATTTTTTTTCATATATATATATAGAATTTTATTGAGTGAGAACACTAGTTATTAAAATATGTAGATCTTAAACAAACCTTTTATTTATCCTTATAAGTTATATACCTAGTAATTAGCCTCATAAGTGAGAAAAATTAATGCATCTTTAACATCTTATAGCAATAGTACTGGAAATAAGTTTGGTCGATTATAGAATATCTTTGAAGTAAATTGTATAATACATTCAGACCTCTCTAAGTGCACCCTCTATAAGTGCACACCCTCTCTAAATGCACACTCAAGTGCTGGCCCAAATATATACTCGACCTCTATAAATGCACTTTTTCTTATTATTCTTTATATGCACGTTATTAAAGTGTGGTTCCAAAGGCATGCACTTAGAGAGGTCTGACTGTATTTAATTATTCAAATTTATCAAAATTTGTAAAGGATTGTATCCGAATATCTTCAATAATATAACATTAACATTTATTAATTATTTTGTTTATACATTAAATACAAAAAATAGACTACGTAATATTCACGGAAAATTATTAGCCTTAAGTACAATTTTCTAGATATACGAAAGAAATTTAATAAGAATATATTGGGTTAAAAAAACGGGTCATATGAATCCCTTCTAATAATTTTAATAAATCTTCCAGCCTTTTCAAGTACTGCTTTGCTTAATTTTGAAAATTCACCCGATTCGTACCCAAGTTTTGCTCTCATTTCTTCATTTTTATAAATTACTGGCCACCTGTCAAATCTAACCTCTTCTAAACTTTCGTAATGTTCAGCATATTTTGTCAATATTCGTAAATGGTCATCAGTGATTCCACATTTATCATTTAACCCCAATTTTTTTAAAATTCACATTACAAGTATTTAAAATTTTTCTTAATAAAGTTGATGTAATAGAAATGTCAAGGTCTAGATCAGTAAGAGATTCGGGAAAATGTGTAACAAACACTTGAATAGACGATTTAAATTTTGCATCTTTTGATTTCAAAACCAATGATTCTAATTTTGATAGCTCCATCCATTTATTAAATTTTTCAGATAAGATATCCATTTTATTAACATGTAATGCTAATCTAGTAATATTTGGAGAGTATTGAATCATCGCATCCAATATTACTTTTGTATTCTCGGAAGAATTGTCAAGAACAATCTCTTTTAATGTTTTTTCTGTCATCTGAAAAATCGGTTTGAAATCATGGTTACTGTAAAAGATGAAGAGATTTTTAACGGAAAGAAATTGTGTAATTTGTAATTGATTTTGTGCATTAATCTTTTTTGTGCAATTCCAAAATACTAAAGTTTCTAAATTTGGACAAGTAGATAGGACCGCTAAAGATTCCAAACATAAGCGAAAATTGGAGAGTCCAAGCCAAGTAAGAACCATTAAAGTACGTGGTGATAAATGTCGTACAATAATATTCATGTCATCACGGAATCGGGTTTTTTCGAGATGAAAAAATGGTAAGTATAGCTTTTTAATATTGGTGAAAGGATTCAAAAGTTCTTCCCAGTTATCATAGAATTCTGTGAAAATCGGGTCCAATGATAAAGAAGTCACATTCTCTGCAACAAGTCTATATTCCGGAAAGCTTTCAAAAGGTAGTCTAAATTTAGGATTGCCTCCAAAAGCAAATTCCTTCAAGCATGTAGAATTAAATAAGAGCCGTGTGATTTCCGTCATCAAATACATTACCTTATTACCAATTTCAAAAATTTCTGTTGATCTTATATCTTTATTTCTAAATCGTAACCAGTAATCTTTCAAATCTGCATCAATAATTTGAGTATTATCATACCATATTTTAATACAAGTTTGAACATCTTTAAAATTAAACTCTTTAAGATATTGATAATATCTAAATAAAGGCTGTTTGGGATTTCTTGGTAACTTAATGCCAGCTTGTCGTAAATTTGCTGGATCTAGGCATGACAGATAAGTTCGAATTAAAAAAATATACTTTTTGCTATCATTCAAACCACGCTTGGAAATCCATTTAAAAGGTGATCTCCAAAGAATAGGGACCATAAGGCGACACCAACTCCTATTCACCAAACAGTTAAATCTAGAACTGAATGGTAAATATTCAAATATAATATTGATTACATCATCAGGGAGAAATGGGGGGTCTACAACGTCATTTGAGACTTGTCGAATTCTGTTTGACCATCGGGTTCTTTTGTTACTAGTAGTTAACTTATTATCTTTATTGTATTTTGTAATAGTAGAAATTTTAGAAATTTTATTAACTTTTTTTTTTGATTTTCGTGTTCTTAATTTTTGCATACTGATTCAATAAAGAAATTCATCTAACGAAAGTTAAGCTGAGGACACTTAATCAATGAAAGGTTTAGTGCTACTTATGCATGTTACAAATCACAAACGTAGTAACACAAGATGCTCATTTTATTACTCTTTCGTAATTCATGATAATCTAACAAATGGCTGCCGCAGAGCATCCTGTACTATCAAACGTAACTTTCATTGATCCAACACCATCGCCAGATGACATTCCCAAAGTAGACGAAGTTGGAGCGACCTCAGCTCCGTTGAAATCAGTGGCATTTTTTATTGGTGCTTATTGCAAGGAATATAATGAGGATTTCATGCTATGTAAAAAATGAAAATAACGATCCCGCACATTGCTTAAAAGAAGGTAGAAAAGTTACTAGATGCGCTATCGACTTGTGAGTGTCAATAAAGTAAGATTTTCTGATAATATGAAAACAACTGATCGATTATGATGTTCTCTCTTTGAACGCGTAATAATTGTTATAATTCTCTATAGAATTCGCAAGGTGCGTGAACATTGTGATCAAGAGTTTGAAGCTCATTGGCAATGCTTAGATAGAAACAACCAAGAATATCGACATTGTAGAGGATTAGAACGAAAGTTTAATTCATGTGTTTTTAATGCCCTGGTATGTTTGATGTTTATTATAAATTTTGTCAAAAGAAACGTAGAAATCTTGATCACTTTGCAGAACATAAGCCTGTGATCTCTAAAGAATCGAATATTCAAGTACAAAATTTCTCACTTATTCATGATTTCTATCATATTGATTTAATACTGCCGTCATAATATCTTGAGAATACTAATTCATCGGATTGATCCTGTGAAGTGAAAATTCGAAAATTCGAAGATTTCTATGTCTTCCTTTAGAACACTTATATCATGTATTGTGGTATTTAAGTTTCTGCTAAATCTAAGCCTATCATTTATATATCAGAATCTAGAAAAAAGTTATTCCTGGGTCTCCTTCGAACCAACCTCAAATTCATCTTAAAGAAAACCCCTTATATAAGGAACGTCCACGTTGGTAAAATGGTTCTGAATAACCACAATTTTTCATATAATGTGTATTGTTACAAAATTTTTGTACTAGATGATTAAAAATTCAGATCAAGGTTTGTCCATAAAAGAAAAAGCTTGATTCCTTCGTTGATATTATGACAAGTTAAATAAACCATTTTTCAAAACCATCTATTTTAACTGTTCTAATCTTCATAAATTCTTTCCTAAATGCATACCATGGCTTGGTCCAAAGCTTAAGACTTAGACGCCTTCTGTATTAGTACTGTAAATGCACTGTCCAACTATGATCGAGACTTCTTATCGTATAGAACATTAAAACTAATTCTTGTTTGCCTCAAAAGTTTATAAATTTATAGTTGATTTTCACAAAATATAAAACATTAATGTATATAAATAAAGTTGGTAATAAAAGTACTTAAAAAACCTTATATACATATATATTAGTACAAGATATTTTACAATGGTCTTAATAGTAAATTGATTTTGTGTACTGTACAATATAACTTTCAATTTAAAAAAAACTTATAACAAATATTTTATATATTAAATTTATTCAAATTTCGTTCTTTCATTCTAAATATACATAAAATATAGCTTCGTAAACTATATTGATTAAAAATTGGGTTAAAAATTAATAAATTTTGAACACAAATTCAAGATTTTTCTGAATCTTTAACTCGGATTTTTTTTTAAAGTTGAAACTAAAAAAACTTTTAAATATTCTATTAATAGAAAGATATTTTATTTGTAGCTTTTAGATTTTCGCTTAGAGATATTTGTTTTGTTAAATTTTAAAATTTTTGTAAATTAGATTATTTGAATAAAAAGTTTTTTTTTTAGTGTTATTTAATTTAAATTTTTTCAAATCATAATAGTTAATAAGTAATATTACTGTTTGAACTTTTATTTTAATTTAGAAAAATAATATAAATAAAATAAAAACAAATATTATAAAATGCATCTATAATATTTAGCACTATTATAATTATTTTAATAAATTTAAAATTAGAGTGTATTTTTACTGCGCTTTTCAAATTACTGTGATATCAGTTCTAAAAAAATGCAAATTTATGATTGCCTAAAAATAATTTTTAGCCAATCATGTATTGGCATTGAAAATCACTGATTACAGTAATTTGAAAAGCGCAGTAATATAAAATAGAGGCTTATATTGTATAACATAATAAAACTTTTATAAAAAGATCAAATTTGTTATATTTAAAATTTTTAGAACTTTTAACTATTGTTTAATAAGGTGAGTATGGGTACCAATTATGACACAATTATGATATCTCGTGATCTATCGATGCAATTTTAGTATCAATTGATTTATAAATTTTTGATCACAAGATATGATTTTTAAATTTATTAAAATTAATGCATAATTTTTAACCTACTGGTTCATTTTTAATTATTTTAACACCAAAATGACCGTCTTGAAAAGATGATTCTAACGAGCCTAAAATTGCTAAAATCTAGTTATAGTCAAACTTCCCTAAATGCAATGTGTATAGACTAGTTTCAATTGTATATTTAGGGAGGTTTGCATTTAGAAAGAGCCAATCAAATTGCAGCTTTTAATATTTGATTTGCAAGCTTGTATAACACAACTTAAATAGTAAATTCTGATTGGCTATGTGTATTTAGAAAGGTAAGTATGATATAAAAAATTTTTTGAGTAAATGTGCATTTGCAGAATATAGAACATATATTTAGTATTAATAATTTTTTATAGCCAAGTCAGAAATGTGTATTTAGAAAGATATTGCATTTATAGAGATTGCATTTATGGATGTTTAACTGTACAAAGTCACAAGATCATTAAAGTTTTTATAGCATTTTTGATGAAAATAATTATATTTTCATCAAAATTTTTATAAAAATTTTAATAATCTTGTGACCTTGTAACTAGATTTTAGTGATTTTAGACTTGTTAAAATCATCTTATCATTTTGGTAATAAAATAATTAAAAATGAACCAGTAGGTCAAAAATTATTCACTATTTTGTATTAATTTAAAAGTTGAGTTGTATAGTTTATTTTAGTTAAATAATAATATCTTATAAACTATTAATCAGAATTGCATATTTTTAATATCAATGATTTGTTTTAACAAGTCATATTGAATAGTACCAAAATTACTTGATTCTAATCAATAGTTCACAAAATATCATGTATGTACTATAATTAGTATATATGTTTATTTTTTTTTTATTTATTTATTTATTTTTTTAACTTTGGCATATTTTGCCAGGTATTTATTTTAGTAATTAATTCATGTGTACAAATAATGCTAGCTAACTAACATAGATGATAAGTGATAAACTCTAAGCTTGTCGACAAATAGTGTATGAGAACTATTTCTAAATGACAGGTGCTGGTACCATAGAACTAATAATTACTGAAACACCTGACTCCACCGGTTGCTTTATTAAGCCCTAGATGTGATAGCCACACCACTTAGTTGTGGAACTGCACTGAACCTCAGCATTGAAGCCGGTGACTAACTTTTTGCTAGGGTATATGTCTCACCCATATATTCACCAAGGCTTTGATAACCTATCGCCACAGCTTAATCTATATACTCGGGGTCAGGGCTAACTATTGAACCTCTTATCTAACTAGTACCAATTATGCCGATGTAACCAAGTTCGTATCTCAAGCCACCTCTAAGGGTGCTGCCGCTATCCAATCCGACAAGCCACAACCTTCCTAATTAAACCGTTACCTACTTCCGCCCTTGTATAGATTCACAACAATCCTGGTACCCGCATTTAGACTGTTTTTTTACCCAGTACTTCATGCTTTTTCAAGTTTTTACCACACTTCAAGATTTGTTGGCATCGCCACTTTATACAGATTTCCTATTAGGTCTTTTAGCATATATACTAGAGGTGATCAATTTTCAGTTATGGTCTATCTTTTATTTACAGCCCCTTATCATATTTACTGCTTCTCTCATTATTACTAATACTATTTACTCTATAGTTTGGATCTTTTTTCTAGTAACACCTTAATCTGGTTCTCTACTTTACTTGGTCTTTTTTACAGGACTTTGTATTCAATTTCTATAGCTATAATTAAACTATCGACCTGATGTGTGGGTTTAGGTATCTAAACTACTAGACTATAAGTCTTAAACTTTATAAGTGCTAGTTTATAATTTTTTTTTAGACTTATATATCTTATATACAGTATATCTTTTTTATTATAGTTTATTATTTTTGTTATAAAGTTTAGTATAAAAAATTATTAAGTTTATTTATTTATTTTTTTTTTAACAATCTTGCTTTTATTATATAAAAATTATATATGAAATATATAAAAATATTTAAGCTTACAGCCTATTACTCTTCTTTTTTTTTAATAAAAGCTTATTTAGCTACTCTAAAATGTCTAGATATACAACTATAGTATTACTTCCAAGTAGATATAATAGTATTACTTATAATTTAATTTTTAAAATTAGGGTCCCATAGCCTAGTGGTCTAGGCACCTAACCCTCCACAGACAAGATCAACAGTTCAATTACAGCTGGTGGTAATTAATTTAATTAATTATCTCTGTAACCTACAGGAGCTTTCGAATACGAAACCCTGTGTTAATAAGATCATGTAAAGTACTTATTTGGCCTATAAAGAATTCTTGGAAGGAGTCCCGAGCCGTAGAGAAGACTGGGCACTACGTG